TTTAAAGAGGAAAAAATTTAAAATAATTAAAATTTTTTTTTTTTTTTTTTAAATTAAAAAGAGAGCACTTGACCGTGACCTGGTTGTTGTTGGGTAAAGGCAAAGTTAAAATTTTGTGTATAAATATTTCATTAAAATAATGAAGACATTTTTAGGAACGTTGAACGGCAAAAAAAAAGAAACAAATAAATTAGATCAAATTAAATGAATTCATTTTTTTTTTTCCTCGAAAGGTAAAACATAAAAAATTATAAGGTCAAAAATAATAATGATAATAATAACACATAGATTGTTATTGGAATATGATCACGTCAAAAAATACTTTTACTATTTGTCAAGGCTATCATTTAAAAAAAAAAAAAGAAAAACATCGTCATTACAATACATCGATTTTTTTTTTTTAAAATAAAATATAAATAAAATTTTTTTGTCATTTTTTCCAACAACAACCAGTCGATTCGTATTTTGGTCGTGGAAGCAGACTAATCGCATTAATTATTAGATAAGATATCAAGTCTGATGAAAACCACAAAAAAATTGATTTATATATCTTTTATCATTTGTTATAAAACTTTTCTTTTTTTTTTTTTTTTTTTAAACACATACAATATTATCTTATTTAAATATATATTTAAAATAATTTTTTTTTAAAGAACCTTTATATAAATTTAAAAAAAAAAAAAAAGAGACAGAAAAAAATATAAAAATAAAAAAATATCAAAAGCACGTTCTCACTCAATAAAACTCGAGACTGGCTCTCAAGTTCATTATAATCTGAGCATGCGCACATTCGTTTTCTTTTTTTACCAACGAGAACTTTCCCTGTCACATTTTTTTTTTTTTTTTCATAAAAACGATTATTAAAGTCGAACGCATTAACGTAATTTTTTTTGTCTTGTTTTTCTTTAAATAATAATATTTATGCTAAATAACTAAAAATTTATAATCAATACTCAATACTTAATAATATAATAATAATACTTAATATAATATAATAATAATAATAATGCAATAAGACAAAATACTTTAATAAAAATTAAAATCGATTAAAAAAATTGAAATTAACAAATGAAATGTGATGGATTTATTTAACTTCTCCTTGTTCATACTAATATGCTAAAAAGTATGTCATTTATAAAACCATAAAACACATTCACAAACCTAAACTACTTTTCACATCATGATCCCTTTTACAAAATGTATCACATTGAGTTATAGGTTAAGAGAAAAAAGTTCTCGACTAAATATTTTATCGTTTAAATTGATTTCCTTTACTTAATATTTCTTTTTATACTAATTAAATTTATAATTAAATACATTATGGTTCAATTAATTTTTTTTTTTTTGGCTTAATATTTAATTTTTTTAAAATAAATTTAATGAATGATCGAATGAATGAATGACTTAGCATTTTTTGTAAATTATTTATTCATTTATATAGAAAACTTACTCTGTTACTGGTAAATATGTCGTTATCATCAGTTTCTAAAATTAATGATAATATCAAAATTCCTGATAACAGTTCCCATCTGAATAGCATTTCATTATGAACATAACTTACATACTGTAATATCTGAAAGTGTGATACTCATTACTAACATAATCACACCGATTATAAGAATTTTAAAATTTCTCGATAATAATAATACTTATTTTACAAATATAATCATTGCTATGATATCTACTAAAAATAAAATTAAAAAATATGTTTAAAATATAAATATTTCATCTGACATGTTTACACCAATGTTATTCAGTACAGAGAGAATTATGTACATCAATCAATGCTTAATAATATTTATGAAAAAAAAAAAAAAAATCAAACAATAAATATTTATAATTTTAATGAATAAGAAGGTTAAACGACAACTTTTGAAGGGAAAAAGAAATTAAATCAAGACGAAAATACGACTTGGAATAAAATATTTGTATTTAAAACACATACATTTTAAATGTGTTTAATCACTTCCGCAAAAATTGGAAAGTTTAGTTAAAAAAATATTTGTTGGTAAATAATTATAAAACTATTCGTTGTTTATCATTAAATATAGTTTGATAGAAAAACAATAAAGTTTACTTACTTCCTGGTTAAATTATAAAGTAAAATAAATGCACAAGAAATAACGAAATGCAACAAGAACTAAAATTTATGTCAAGGGTGAAATCATAGAGTATTTAATTTACCGATATATCGTAAAAAATCGCCGGTATCGTCACAATCGATATAATCGCAATTTTTAGTCTGTGCCTAACTGAGTACTATAGAACTTTGAACTTTTTATTTTAAAAAAGATAATTTTTGAATTAACGACATTTCTTATTAATCTGCCATATGAACGATTCGTTTTTTACTACTTTAAGCAATGGTACGTTTCATAATTTTAAAATTAACTTGCAATTTATTTCATTTTTTTACTTTTTTAATGTCCACGTTGACTTTTTTTTTCAACTTCAAAAACTTTACAATATTATGTAATTTTAAAAAACGTGACTACATTCTTGTAACAAGCGCCAACTTTTTTTCTCTTCATATCAGTTTTGTTAATTAAATGTATTTTCAATTGAAATTTAGACAATTAAAAGCGTTTTTCCTTACAGTCTGGTGGAATTGAAAGAAAAGCAACTTTTAAAGTTGATTACCTTAAGGAAATAGAAGAACAAGTTCAAAAACAATGGGATGAAAAAAAAATTTTCGAAATTAATGCTCCCACTGAAAATGAAGAAATTCCCCAAAAGTTTCTCACAACTTTTCCTTTTCCATACATGAATGGACGGTTACATTTAGGGCACACATTTACACTGTCAAAATGTGAGTTTGCAGTAAGATTTCACAGGCTTAAAGGCAAAAAAGTATTATTTCCTTTTGGATTTCATTGTACTGGAATGCCAATTAAAGCCTGTGCAGATAAATTAAAAAGAGAATTAGAAGAATTTGGCTATCCACCTGATTTTCCCAAATCGGAGGAGCCTGTTTTAGATGAAGTATCAGATGCTCCCAAGGATAAAAGTAAAGGAAAAAAGGTATTCAAATAATTTTTACGTCTTAGAACTTCTATTCTTGAATTCTAAATTAAAATTTTTATTATAGAGCAAAGCAATGGCCAAATCTGTTGGTGCTAAATATCAATGGCAAATTATGCAATCATTAGGTTTATCAGATGATGAAATCAAAAATTTTGCAGAAGCCGAGTATTGGTTAGATTATTTTCCCGAGTTGGCTGTAAAGGATCTAAAAAGAATCGGACTCCATGTAAGAATTTTGTATTTCTAATAATATATTTTACTCAATTCTTCTTAATTTTAAAATTTTAAAACCAATTTAAAACTTAAATTATGAGTTGGTAATTGAAATTTTTATTTTATGAAATGTAAATAGGTTGATTGGAGACGAACTTTCATAACTACAGATGCAAATCCTTTTTTTGACTCATTCGTTCGATGGTCTTTAATAAAATTAAAAAACCAAAATAGGGTTATGTTTGGAAAAAGATATACAATTTTTTCACCTAAAGATAATCAACCATGCATGGATCATGATCGAAGTAAGGGAGAAGGAGCAGGTCCTCAGGAATATACTTTAATTAAAATGAAAGTAACTTCGGTGCTACCTCCTAAACTAGAGTAAGTTTATTAGCATATAATTTCATTAAAAAAATATTTTATGAAAATCCTCATATTAATATTTTATCTAATAATTTAATTCAATTTTAGAATGTTCAAAAATAAACCTGTTTTTTTGGTGGCAGCAACATTAAGACCGGAAACAATGTATGGGCAAACAAATTGTTGGGTTAGACCCGATATGAAATATATAGCTTTCGAAACGGAACAAAAGGAAATTTTTATATGTACACATCGTGCTGCTAGAAACATGTCTTATCAAGGCATCACTCAGCAAGAAGGGAATGTTAAAATATTAGCAGAAATTTTAGGAGAAGATATACTTGGACTCGCTCTTTCAGCTCCCCTTAGTGTTAATAAAACAATATACACTCTTCCAATGCTTACCATTAAAGAAGATAAAGGCACAGGAGTTGTGACGTCTGTTCCATCAGATTCACCTGATGATTATGCAGCTCTTGTAGATCTCAAAAAAAAACCAGGTACGACATCCAAAAAAAAAAATAAGTCTTTTGATCAAAATTAATTTATTAGTATAACTGATTTACCTGTTTGTGAAACGTTGCAGCGTTGAGAGAAAAATACAACATCAAAGATGAAATGGTTATGAATTATGATCCGGTTCCAATTATCGAAATTCCCGAATTCGGTTCACTCTGCGCTCCTACAGTGTATGAAAAACTTAAAATACAATCGCAAAACGATAGGGAAAAATTACAAGAAGCCAAGGAATTGGTGTACCTGAAGGGTTTTTACGATGGTGTTATGCTCGTCGGAGAATACAAGGGTGAAAAAGTTCAAAATGTAAAAAAATTACTTCAAAAACAATTGGTAGACAAGAAGGAAGGTTTAATTTATTACGAACCTGAAAAAACTATTATTTCAAGGTACGGAAATGGAAATAATTGCTGAAATTTTGCTGCTCCTTATTATTGTATGTACCTTAAAGTAAAAACTTTTTACAAAGTCATTTTTAATATTTTTTTTTTTTTTTAGATCTGGTGATGAATGTGTTGTTGCTTTATGCGATCAGTGGTATTTGGATTACGGTAATCCAAAATGGAAAGAATTAACAGTTAAAGCTCTCGATAAAGTAAACACTTTTCACGAAGAAGTTAGAAAAAATTTGCTCGTCACAATCGATTGGTTACGAGAGCACGCATGTTCTAGAAAATACGGTTTAGGTTTGTTTTCATGCAAAACAAAATCCATAAAATTTTCTTTTCGTTTCGTAAACTAAGTTAAAACGAGGAAAAGGTATCCAATTTTTTTTTTTTTTTTTTGTAGGTTCCAAGTTACCGTGGGATGAAAATTGGCTCATAGAATCATTATCGGATTCCACAATTTATAACGCTTATTACACCATCGCTCATTTTCTCCAGGGAAATACATTCAAGGGTGATAAACCGAACGTTTTTAATATCCAGGCAAAAGATATGACGCCTGAAGTTTGGGAATATATATTTGTGAAAGACGCTCCAGAGCCCAAAACGAAAATTCCATTAGAATCTCTTAAAGTAATAATTTTTTTTTTTTTTTCTTTCTACGTTGTTTGTAAACAAAATTATTAATTTTTTTTTTTTTTTCTGTTTTTAACTCGAAAAAAATGAAAAGGGAATTTCAATATTGGTATCCGGTCGACGTGAGGGGTTCCGGTAAAGATTTAATTCAAAATCATTTATCGTATTTTCTTTTCAATCACACGTCAATATGGATAAACGAACCGGATAAATGGCCGAAAGGTATTCGCGCAAACGGTCATTTAATGTTGAATTCAATGAAAGTAAGTAAAGGTAAATTTGTCGGGAGGGGTTGGCGAGGGGTTAGAAATTTAATTTCTCTACTTTTTATTAACCAGATGTCAAAATCCGAAGGGAATTTTTTGACTCTGTCCGAAGCTGTCGATAAATTTAGCGCTGACGGTATGAGATTATCATTGGCGGATGCGGGAGATTCGATAGAAGATGCCAATTTCGTCGAAACTATGGCCGATGCCGCCATATTACGTTTGTATAATTTTATCGAATGGGTTAAAGAAGTTTTAAAACCGGAAAGCAATTTGAGAACGGATTCGCTCGAAACGTTCAACGATAAAGTTTTCAAAAGGTAATTTTTTTTTTTTTTCGGGTTATTTTGCGACGCCGCCATTGACGTTTCTCAATGCAGACATCCATGATTTTTTTTTTTTTTTTTTTTTTTCTTTCAGCGAAATAAATCTTAAAATAAAAGAATCGGAAAAATTTTACGAAAACATGATGTTTAAAGAAGCTTTAAAAGTTGGATTTTTCGAATTACAAGCCGCGAGAGACAAATACAGAGAATTGAGTCTCGATGGAATGAATCGAAATTTGATTTTGAGATTTATCGAAGTTCAAGCTTTGTTATTATCACCCATTTGTCCTCACGTCAGCGAATTCGTTTGGTCTTTATTAGGAAAAGTGAGTCGGATTGTTTACAACGTGTTTATTCTTTCTTTCTTTCTTCAATAAAAATTTTCATTACAGGAAGGTTCGATAATGGAAGCCAAATGGCCCGAGTACGGATGGATCGATGAGGGAGCCGTCAAAGCTTCCGAATATTTTATCGAAGCCGCTCATTCTTTACGTCTTCACTTGAAAAATTATATGACTCCGAGAAAGGGGAAAAAGGGAGAAACGAGTGGTACGATTGAAAAACCGACTCACGCTTTTATTTGGGTCGCAAAAAGTTTGCCACCCTGGCAATCAACGGTCGTCACGTGTTTAAAAGAATTACATCAAGTTAGTATCGGTGGAATCGATCGGATGTCGGAAATTTTTTTTTTTTAATTATTATAATTAATTTTGTATTTTGTACATTTTATAAGAAATCCGGCGTTTTACCAGAGAACAAATTAGTTGCGGCGGAATTGAATTCGAAACCCGAATTGAAAAAATACGGGAAAAAATTGATGCCATTCGTGCAAGCGACGAGGGAAAAAGTTGAAAAAATCGGTTTCGCTGCCTACAACCTGACATTAGATTTTTCGGAAATGGCCGCATTAGAAGAAAATAAAGAATATTTAAAACAAACATTAGAGGTTTTTTTCTTTTTTTTAATTATTTAATTTTTAGTTTTCCTCGTTTGATCCGGAAAATTATAATTTGTTATTACGTTTCATTAGCTCGAAGACATTGAATTTTGGTACTCGGAAGAAACCGGGCCGGAAAATCTTAGAGACGAATGTTGTCCGGGAAAACCACACATTGCATTCACGAAGGGAGTCACGTTACATTTAGACAATCCTCAACCTCATTCCGGTTTTTATTCGAGAAATCTTTTGATTCAAGATGGAGACACGGTTGAGTCCGTCATAGAGAAATTAAAAATTACATTTAAAACGCTCGGAGATCAAGTCATCAATCGTAAGTTATTTAAAAAATTAAATTTTCTGTTTTTTTTTTTTTTTTTTTGGAAAATTTAAAAAATTGAATTTTTTGTTTTTCAGAACCGAATGACATTCAACTGTGGAGGTATAACGATCATTTATTAGGTCCGAGAACGATGCCGTCATTCGGAAAAGCAACGGATGGGAAAACTTTGGTGTCGGAAAATTCAATTTTTCACTGTTCATTCGATGATAAAAAATTATTTTTAGTAGATGAAAACGGATCTAAAATTCCAATCGGTAACACTTTGATTTACATAACGAACGATCCACCGCCGAAACCGAAACATTTCCCACCCGGAGATTCATTTTCCAATATAACTCAAACCGTATAAAATGTTAGTGAAAATTATTTATTAAAAATTAATTATATGGTTGTGACCAGAAGCACAAATTAGGAAGGAGGGGTAGGGAGGGGAGGGGAGGAGAGGAGTTGAGGGAAGCGATCGAATTCGAGAATGGTTTTAAGTAATTTATTTAATTTCTTTTTGAAATATTTTTGTCACAAAATGTCTACGGAATTTTTTTAAAAAAAAAGAAATTTAAATTTTTTAAAATTTTTGTTTTGTTTTTTTTTTAATGTAAATCTCCAAACTGTTTTATTTAATAAAATATACAACATTAAATTAAAAAATTATTACTTATAAATTAATAAATTATTAAATTATACTAATTAAATTATTACTAATTATCACGCGTCGTCGTGAATAATAATAACAATAATAATTTTTTTAATTATTAACTTTATATTTTTTTTAAAATTTATTACGCGGGTTATTTATTAATTAAAAATCGAATTTATGTATTTTAATTATCGGTCACGGTTTTATTAACCGAATTCCAAAAAAAAAAATTTTTCCGTCGTGGCAGTAGAGTAATAATAATAATAATTATCGACGAATTTCGGAATGTTTAATATTTTTTTTTATATTATTAATTGAATTCTTTTTTTCTACCACTACCACTATTATTATTATTATTATTATTATTATTATTATTATTATTATTTTTATTTTTATTATCGTACGTGGCAAGTCACTACTGGACTCCTTAATAAAATTTTTCCAGCATTCGTTCCAGGTTTTTTCAATTGGATTAATTTTTAAAATGGACAAATAAACGCGACGAATCCTTTTTTTTCGTACAACTCGGAGGTTTTTTTTATTTAAAACGCGACTTTATTTAATCATTATTATTATTATTATTTTACAATGTCGTGGGGCACGCGGGGGGAGAGGGAAGGGAATCCAAGAACGAAAAAGTTTTTCTAGGTACTAAAAAAATAGAATTAAATTGTAAAATGAATTAAATGAATGAATCGATCACTGATAACGTTTAAGAATGACAAATTCGTTCGTTATCAATGATAATTAATGAATAAACTTATCAATGACAAACATTGATAATGTTATCAAACATAAAGTACTCACACGCGCCGTTTATATATATATATATATATATATATATATATACTATATT